AAAACTTTAGCAGGGAAAAAGGAAATTTCGGACGTATAGCAGCGCGTCAAAGTGGCATCTACTTTTTTTCTTACTCCTACTTTGAGCCTATCAGAGCCTATTTTGAGCCTATCAGAGCCTGCAATGCGCAGTCTGATCTGAGAATTGAACCCTACTTTAAAACTTTAGCAGAGGAAAAAAGGAAATTTCGGACGTATAGCAGCGTCAAAGTAGCATCTACTTTCTTTCTTACTCCTACATAAAAAAAGAAAAATTGAGGTTCAATGTAGACGCTAAATTTCGACTCGGGTATCTTTGTGCGATCTATCGACTGAAATTTACGTCGTTCTCTTTGTCGTTCAGTCATGTTTTGTGATTCATTAAAAGAAGTTTATATGTTTTGCACTTCCTCCATTATATTCTTATCGCGAGAATATTCTTTGTAGCCCGGACATAGCATATATGCAAAAGGCTACGTGCTATCACTACGTGACCACTTTGATCGGTGCGTGACGAGTTGGAGATTAATTTCGAAGAAGAGTCGCAACGTTCTCTTCGCGTTCGTTAGTCGTTCGACCGCATTGCGATGATAAAACACAATCTATTTTTAATTTCGAACTCATGGTGTTTCATTCAGATTTCGCAGAAATTAATGCGACAAAAGAGTCAGCGAAACCAAGAGAATAAAATATGTACGTCTTTTTGTTTTTTTCAGGTGGAGAGAAGAAAGATTATTTCTTCTCTTCTATTTTTTAGAACAGAATTATATTTTTTAGAGAACAATTTTTTATCTGTCTCAATTCAATGTTCTCTTTCTCGAAAGCACCTTGACGTAATGATTTCTCAAGCGCGCACAAGTCGGGAGCATATCGTTTTCATTGTCGCACTCCGGTTATCCTTGTCGTACACGCGAATAAATTGTCTCAAAGATCAACCGGATTTTTCATGGCCGGCATAATTAAAACTGATCCGTTGCGATTTACTTCGCGGCCGAATTAGCCGAAGCTTTTATCCGTGATGGAAAAAAAAAAAAAAAAATTACACTGATCGGTAGTAATAATTATACGGCAGGGTCGGCTCAATATATCAAGATCGAACGATCTTGACGAGTCCTTTCGATCGGACATAGCGACAATAAAATAGCTTCAGACAGCGGGACAAAAAAACGTGGTACGCTTTACACTTTGCACGTAGAAATAATTAATAACTGTTAAGAATTTATGCGCAAACAATCAGGCTGTCTTTTTCAAGAAAGAGAGAGAGAGAGAGAGAGAAACAAAAAGAGAGATAGACAGAAGTTATTTGCTCGTCAGAAGATGAACTTTGCGACCATTAATGTCGACCTCGGTCGGACTTGTTCGGCTATGAAGCCGAGTTCCGCAATTGTTAACGAGGTGCATTGATACGTCTGGTATCATCGTTTCTCTTTGCGAAGTCTCGTGTGTGTGTGTGTGTGTGTGTTGCACACGTAAAACACATTCGATTGTGTTTTCACGTGAGGATCGATACCAACGTCGCAGTCAACATTTTTTTTTATTCTTCTACGCGAAGCTTGTTCATCACTATTCTTTAACACAATGAATTGTCTACGTTAAAGAGCAATAAATTTATACACAGCCGTGCGATCAAGTGAGATACAAATAAAAAAAAAAACAATGAAACAAATAAGTATTAAGCAGATTCTAAAATTATTGATTGTGGATGTGAAAAAGTTTTTTTTAAACAATTAGTGATAAATCGATATTACTCTCAGGTAATAAGTCTTATTAAACTAATAATATAGGGACATTAAGAGCCGTTCGCAGGATGTTGTGCGTGAATGTGCTTTTTAAATATATATATATGTATACACATATATACTTCGAAATAATTTTTTTCCGTATAGGATGCTGGATTTGCATCACATATATATGAAGGAAACAAATTATTTCGAAGTATATAAGTGTATACATATATATATATTTAAATCACATTCACGCACAACATCCAGCGAACGGCTCTTCATGTCCCTATATTCATATATTATTAGTTTAATAAGTTTTTTTTAATTTTTCTGTTTTTTTTTTTAATTTAAGAAATGGAAGGTGGCTTTGAAAGAGAGAAAAACATATCTCGTTACATTAAAACGGTATCTCTTATTATCGAAAGTAGATGTAATTCCTCCAGAGAATAGAATTCTCATAATCTAATGGGAACTTGCGACAACGCGGGTGATAGCGCGTAGGAATTTTCTTTCAACGACCTAACCATCGATTGCGCGAAAGAACATTTCCACGTACCAATAGCCGTGTTATCTCGAGCTCCCACAGTGACCTTTACGTTTTTCCAATGAGATATTCCAGCTTCAATTATATTCTATCATGTCTGTTGTGATATTGTATTTCTGTCGTATTAGTGACACACTGAAAGCGAGTGGTGTCTTGAGACATGTTTTACATATTATGCATATAGTGATTGGCGTAAGAACAGGAAGCATTTTTACGTAACGAGAAGCGATTGTTGCATGTGTGTTGCACGCGTGCGCACACATACATACGCGCGCAAAAACTTGGTCGTTGTACGTATATTACCACGTATATCGTTATACTTTAGTTTGGACAAGGATTTTTTGTCACATCGATTTTTTGTCCGAAGACAACGTTACGTTCGACACTTGACGTCGAATGGAAAAAGCAAACTCTCTTGCGCGAATGGCAATTTAGCGCGTTTCCAGAAGAAAAATGATTTTCCGTTGAAAAAAACAAAAGTAACATGTGCCTTTCGCGGATGACGCGTAAAAGTCATATTTTATAGAATCATTTGCGAAACATTTGTGTGTCTCGGTAATAGAAATCTTTGTGATATACGTTTCTTCTCTCTCTCACGTCGCATTTAATTTTTCAATATTTACAACTTCCATGTTTCAAGTGTGATGAGAATAACTTTAATGATTTTTTTTGCAAACTGCTCTTGCAACATAGATACGTATCTCATACACACATCTGTGTGTTTTATATATTTCTAATCAAGAAAAAACGTGTTTATATTATTGCAGAAGTCTTAGTCATCACGTGTCGACTTTTCTAAAAATC